AGAACTAATTATTGAATATAACATTTTTCGAAAAATTTAAAATAAATACTCCCTTCCATATTTTAATGTTCACTACATGAGGTTGGACACATTATTTAAGGAGTAAAGTAGGCAGGTAGTTACATGCAAATAAGCATATGTGATTAAACATTCCAATATATACCTAGCTAGTTATACTACTCTCTATATGACTTCTTCATTAGCAAGTAATAGAGTCTCAAGTCTAATTCAACTATTGCTAATTGATACGCTCAACGAAAAAGCAATACCAATTCAATTAGAAACAAATTGCTTCGAGCTACGGCTTTGCCACTTGGTGTGTGACATCATCATTACATCTCTCTGGCATAAGCATCCATTTCTAAATATTTACTCCCTCCATTCTCCAATTAAATTACTAATTGGAATAAACGACTTTCAGGTAAACAAATAATAATCTCCAAGACAAAATAATACTCCGTAATGTGTTTAAGATGATAAATAAGATAAAATGGCAGGGAAATTACAACAGGTGTTTTAATTTCCCAAAATATGACAATTTAAACGAGTGACCTAAATTAAACACTAAAACAATGAACCATATATAACCCATATATCATGCCGTCAGTTAGGCTATGTTTGGCAGACATAAGTCCCTGCCTTCTAGCTTTTGTAATATTGAAAAAGTCTTTAAAATCTTCTAGTTGTGTGTTTGGCATGCCAATTTTTAAGAGCTTTTGTAAAAATAAAAGATCTTTTTTGAGATGCTACTGTGAGTACCATCTCAGATAAGTCAGTAGCTTCTAGTATTAATCAGTCTTAACAGCTTGTATACCAAACAGAGTTAAATCAAACAGTCAGTTTTTTACCAAACAAGCACTGCCTTTTTCTTTTTAAGATTTCTTCAGTCACTAAAAGCTAACAGTTACTAAAAAGCTCATAAAAGTATCTTTTCAGCTAGTTGTGCCAAACATACCCTTAGTCTCTCACCCCCCTTGGCTTCCACGATTTCATTTTTCAACCATCGACCGCCGTTGTTTCACCTCTCAAGCGCCATTGCCGCCCTTTTCTTCTTTTTCTTCTCTTTTTCTATCGATTATTGACACCATTGGGGAACGATGATGTGAAGGAGCCGCTCCTTGACACACCACCGACCCATCACCCCATCTCTTCTCCTTCCTTTGATGTTAGAGCGCGGCTCCTATGGCAATTGATAGATGGCCAAAATTCAGATTGACGTGGAGCCAGGGGCGGATCCTTGTGTGGGCAGGGGTGGACTCCAGCCCAACCCAATTTTTATTTTTTAATTAGTATATGCATAAATTTAATGTCAAACCCATCCCAAAATTAACTCCTAGCCCACCTCAAAATTAATTCCCAGTTCAATCCAATCATATTATCAACTATTCCACTTAACTACTTCAAGCAAACCTGCGGCCAGAAGTTCGGAGCTGCGACGGAGCTGCGAAGCACGAAGGTGAAAGAGGGAGTAGCGGAGCTGCGACGGAGACACCAAAGACGAACACCATCCGACTTTGGTCAACTGCTGAGCCGCCGCCCGCCGTCCAGGGCCCTGTGTCGGCCATCTTCCCTCTCCGACTCTGCCCTCTGTGGCTCTGCCTCTATCTCCATGTATACTCTAAATTCAAATACTCTTTTACACTATTTTTCTTGATTAAACTTGTATTATTTGTTAAACATTGCATTATTTGTTAAGCATTGTACGGAGTATTATTTTGTGAAACATTGTTAATCTATTTGAATATTTGATGAACCGAGGACCTGGAGCGATTGTGTCATTGTGTTTTATATGTGAAACATTGTATTATTTTGTGACTGTGTTATTATGTATTTTTTTAGTTTTGTAAATCTATTTGATTCTTAATTGAATTTTTCAGTACATAATAAAATAGTGTTTATTCATTATAAATTTATAATGGTTAATAATAAATTGTTTTTTTCCAAAAAATGATTTAAGATAAAATTAAAGATTAGTGAATTATTTATTTATAATACAATTGAAGATTAGGGAATAATTTATTTATTGTGCGGACATGTAAGAAATAGTTAAAAATTTCAATTGAAACATGAAATAAATCTTTAATAATCATTAATAAATTTATTAAATCGCACTAAAAATGTTTAAATTTTAAGTTATATACGGTTTAATTTATTCCGATGATTTATAAGTTAACGATAGGTCGAGCCCGGATTGAACCGAACATCACTAAGCTCAAACTCGGCTTGAATAACTATTCGAACTGAAAATCTAGCCGTTTTCGACTTCGAAGCTCGTTAAGCTTGAGTCATTAAATTAAATTTGAAATCGCGTTCAAACTCGTGTAGTTCAAAAAAAGCTTAGTTCGATAACAACCCTAAATTAAACATTTTGTGTGCAGTAACAACTTTTTTTACTGCTTAGCCCAACTCACGTCCCGTTCCTGGATCCACCCCTGCGTGGAGCGGTTTGATTTGAGGGGGCAGGGGGCCTGGGCTTATCAGGCGCAGGGGAGGCGGGATGGGACTGGGGGATGGGGCATGATTAGGGGCTTGGGCTAGAAAGGAAGTATGTGCGGTCGGTGGTGGTAAATGCACTGGGTGTTAGTCACAGGATGGGTTGTAGTCACTAATGGTTGGCAGTGAACTGTGGTTTTTTGGCTGGGGGCTGTTAATGGTGGTTGAGTTGTTGTGTGTAGTGTTGTGATTGTAGCGGCAACTAGTGTCACTGCCGCCAACCCGCCACAAAAGTAAGCAGTCACTATATGGCATCGGAAAACGGAGTCACCGAAGAAGCTAGACAACGAAGTAAATGTGGTGGGGGCGGCGGCGGAGGCGACGGAGTCACTACATGACGGTCATCATATTACACTGGAAAATGGAGTCACTGGAGAAGGTAGACCACGAAGTCACTGGAAAACGGAGTTACTATAGAAGGTTGATAATGAAGTCACTATGACGGCGGTGGTAGTAGTACTCATTACGGTGGTTAGAGGCATTTAATAATTATTAATTATAAAAATTGAATATCAAAATAATAAATGTAGTATTAAATGAGGCTCAAATGATATGACAAGTCATATTTTTGAAAAACATAAAAACAAATCACGTTTTTGTTAATTGTATATGAAGTATAAATTAGTAATATTCATAATAGAGTTTTCTAAATATATTACTGGTACTAAATAAAATATGTTAATAAAAATTTGCCAAAGTTGCAATTAAGATATTCTAATGCTAACTCAATTGAATATGACTAGTTTGGAACCCGTGCGTTGCACGGGAAAACATTTCATCGAAAATGTAAGGATTTGAATGATAATAGAACTATAATTTAAACATTCGAAGGATAGAATTTAACATATAACAAATGACATATGAAAAAACCTATAAATTATTATACACTTCTTTATAAACAACATTTAGAGCAGTATTGCTTGGTTGACCATCATCGTCTCATATGACAAATTTTAACCCAGATGGACTTGTAACTCTCGATACCGCAACGTATAACTGTCCATGAGTAAAAACTGGACGTCGCAAGAATACACCAACTCTTTCTAACGATTGTCCTTGACTCTTATTAATCGTCATCGCATAACTAACCATAAGAGGAAATCGTCTGCGCTGAAACGTGAAGGGGAGCTTCAAGTCTGTAGGAGTTAAACTAAGTCTGGGAATAAGATATTTTTCACCACCATTTGATCCTGACATCATCTGAGTCTCAATAATATGAGTCCCGAGTTTAGTTACCATGAGTCTCGTGCCATTGCATAACCCAAAAGTGTGATCTATGTTTCTCATAAGCATCACAGGCACACCCACCTTAAGCTTCAGTTCATGACTTGGCACACCAGAACATTTGATGCTATTAAGAAATTCCGGAGAATGAATGTCTTGAAGGAGCTCGCTATCCGAGTCAGAGGAAGATGCTGAATCGCAGCTTAAGTATGTCCTTTCCTCGCCTGGAATTAGCCCCAACATGTAATCATTGATCTTGTCTCGCTCATCAATCGTAGGCGCAAGAATGGCCCTAGAGTTCAGATATGAAATGTCTTCCCTATGAGTCAAGAAATCTGGATACGTACTGTTAACAATAGACTCAATGGGATCATCTGTCAACGGAGCAAGAAATTCGGCAGGTATGTGGACTTTTGATTCCCCATCCTCATTGTCTCCCAAAATACCATCGCCTATCTTCAAAATCCAATCTGCAAAGCGCTCTATGTCAGTTGCGCTGGATGATCCGGTCACGTGTGCAAGCCTCATGTTCCTTGTCAATTTCAACACCCTACAATATGACCACAAATACGATGAATTTAAAGACGCTTGGACAATATCTTGCCTCATGCCTTTTGGAATGACCGGCAATATCTGTCGGAAGACCCCGCCAAATACAATAGTTTTTCCACCGAAAGGGACAACAGCATCACATTCCGGCGAGAAGCGAAGGACATCTCTCATAGTGCGTTCTAGAGCTTCAAAATAGTGCTTATGCGTCATTGGAGACTCATCCCAAATAATTAGCCTTGTTTGTTCAAGAAGCCTAGCCAAGGGACTACCGTGTTTTATGTTGCACGTTGAGTCCTCCGTCACATTAAGTGGAATCGCAAACCTCGAGTGTGCGGTCCTTCCTCCGGGAAGAAGGAGTGACGCAATACCGCTGGATGCCACGTTCAATACTATTTCTCCTCGTGATCTAATTGCCGCAGACAAAGTCCTCCACAAATATGTCTTTCCCGTGCCGCCATGTCCGTATAAGAAAAAAACACCGCCACATTTGCGGTCGACAGATTCCATGATGATTTCGTAAACAACTCTTTGTTCATCTGTCATATCCTTCAACAACTTTTTATGTTCTTCAGCCATCACACACTCATCGTACTTCAATTCTTCATGAATGAGAATGTCCTCCATGGAGGGGATGTAAGAATCGGGGGCACTGACATTCTGACGTAGTCACGCAGTGATTTTCCTCTTTGTTGGAGAAGCTTCTCAATCTCCACTAAACAGTACTTCTAAATTTCTCCGTTGTCTAGCTCCAACTCTTCAGAAGAGATGACACATGTATTCAATGTAAGGTATGAGTCAAAGAATATGAATTAGAAATATTTTTTTACCATGGAAGAACATTAAATAGTTATGACTAATATAAATGCGTACCTTGATCATGAAGGTTTTTCCTCACATTGTATAATATGTCTTCTGACAAATACTCCCAACACTTTTCCCACACCGATTCAGGCTTAGTTATTGATCCCTGCAGTAAAAGAGTAACAAATAGATGACGCAACCATCGCGCCATTGCTGAATGACTTGACTCTTTAATGCCATCTATGTACTCCTTATCATCTCCCTGTAACCCGCGAGCAAAACAGGCATCCCTAAATGTGTCATATATCTTTCCATCCACGGTTCGCAAATCTTCATAACTTCTTGGCCCTTTTACTACATTCAACAGAACTCTTAAGTAGTACTTCTCACCTGCTCCGGGACGCACAAAGAACACACGCCCAACCGCAAACCCCTTTTTCCGTGGTGACCACTCCCTTTTCTTTTTGTTCCATGTGAACTTAGATGGAAAGTCAACGTATGTCAACTCCCTGGCCTCCTGATAAACTTGATTTGCTCTCATCCAAGCTATAAACTTCGTAGAGTGAAGAGTGGTGTTACTGAGTACCGACTCAATGGATGCATCAGGTTTGTAGTATACATTTTGCTCTCCCGGTAGATGAAAGCTTAACCGCTCAACCGAAACATCCCTGTAATGGATATGGTATGAAAAAATTCTCCATGCAGCTTCACAAGCGGAGATGTACCGACAGTCATAGTACATCTTGATCTCATCGATATTTTGTGGTTTGCTGCTGTCAGTAGCTTCTGAAAATGCAACAGTTATCCGATCATCACCTTTATTTATATACTTGAAGAGATACTTGACTGATCGTGATTGATTACACCACTCCACATTGATGTGTGCTCCATACTTGAGAAGCAAAGTACGATTATGTGGGATAACATATCTATTGTCCATATGATGGCCATTTTTCTCAACAGACCTTCCATTGTTTCTCCTCCTGTATTTTGGGTAACCACTCTTATCAATGGTCGTCCGTTGGGAAATGTTTTTAGGAAAATGCTTCGTGCAATGCCCTTTATCCATACATGGTGAAGACATGTTCATCAGTCCACATGGCCCATGAATCATCAATTCTTTGACTGCATTATAGTAAACGGGATCAAAATTTTCATCAGGTATCTCTGCAGATATTATTTTGTCTATATCTGAGGAAAATACATTCCTCTGCCTTTGTGAAATCCATACAACGATATGCGCATGCGGCAATCCACGCTTTTGAAACTCTACGGTGTACACAACTGCAAATATTAAAGAAATTCTAAAATTAAATAGTGTTATATTTGCATGTGGCAAGAAAACTATATGATGAAACAAAAAAAGGATTTCCAACATGAAAAATTGTGAAAAACAAAAATTACTTGCCCGCACGTGGCCAAACATCTTATTTTGTTTCAAATCCTTGATGAGTAGATCAAGTTTCATTTTAAATATCCTAGAAAGTAAATCAGGTCTATCATCAGGACTCAGTCCTCTTGGTTCCACAAAACGGAGAATTTCTGGCCACTTTGGGTTACACGTGAATGTAATAAATAATTGTGGGTATCCAGCCCATCTGCATGTAGCCATATCATCTTGATAGTTTTGCAGCATGTAACGTGCACTCCCAGTAAATGAATTCGGTAGAACAATGAGTTGACCTATCCTCGATGCATTTGTCTCTCCTTGTCCAATGGCATCTGCCAATCCACTATACAGATCACTCCGCAACTCCTTTTGATGATGTCTAATATAATGCAAACGACACGACTCAATCATCGTATAACCATCAACCACAAGTTGTTGGAACAATCTCTTAGTTCGCAATATATATGGGGTCTCAACCATGCGATCTTGAAATCTATATGAAAAGTACTCTCTCATAGTAGCATGCTTTCTCCCTCCAGTGATCCCTTCAGTTGCACGGGTCAACAACACGTTTTCTCTAAAACCGTCCTGGCCATAAGGAAAGAGAAGTGGATATTGCAGCCCTAGATAAGCTGGATTTAATTCAGAGATGTACTGTAAAGAACCAGACTTCGTTTGAAGAACAACATTGTAAGGAATAATTGTAATAAGATTTTGATGATGCTATATTAATTAGGACTTTAAAGTACCCCTTTAGAAATTATGTATTAGAATTTTCCTTTGTAAAGTTCTTAGCATAATCGACTACCAGAAGGCCTCTCTACCAGAAGACCTCCTGACAGAAGATTTTGATGCCTCTCTGTCAAGGAACAGAAAACCTCAGGGTCCCTGTTACCCTTTAGTTTGACAGAAACCCTCTTGGTTCTCTGTAAGCTACTATCAACAGAAGTGCTCAAGACCTTCTCTGATCAGTTCTCTGCTAAAGACACCAGAAGGCCTGACACTCGGAAGAATTCCACAAAGCCGGGAAATCAACTGAAAGATTCCTTCAACGGCTAGGAGTATTGAACGGAAAAGCTACAGTGCTCGCATTAAATGCTCATTTAATGCTCCCCATGCTCCGTGGAGTAATTGCAGATGATTGGCCGCTATGTCAGGATTACTTTATCCCAAAATAGTAACCCGCCAACTTTACCGGGTCCTACTGGTCAAGTCAACTGCTCGCGCATTAAATGCAGTTGTCCTCCTACTCCTCCAACGGGAAGACAACCTCAGTATAAAAGATACACTACGAAGAACAAACGAATAACTTTGCAACTTTTGCTACAACTCCTCATACAAGATATTCAAACCTTGAAAAGCAAAAAAAAGCCTCCTTGAGATTCAAACTCATTATCTTCTACAAGAGAAGGCAGAAGTTGGAAAAATATTTTTTTTCAACTCAAGCAAAGTTCCAAGTGTTCTTCAACTCTTCAAGCTCATCACATACAAATCTGTTATAACGAAGCTAGTTGGAGGAACCCCTGTTTCAACACAAACTCTTCTTGCTACAAGAAGGACGTCCAAGTAACTGGAGTAGTGAAGTGGTGATACTTCCCGGAAACTCAGTGAAAGGACCAGTCTTAAAGGAAGCCAGGCAGTGCATCCCAGGAGACATCCAGGCTTGAAGAAGACGTGGAGAGCTTCTTAAGTGCTAGGACTAAGGCATTGTAAACGGTCGTTTTTACAAGCTTAGTGGAACAGTGGATTAGAGGAACGAGTTGTTCCTTGAACCACTATAAAAATCCCTGGTGTCGTTTACTTACTGCTTTAATATTTGCACTTAGATAGAACTGTCTAACTCCTTAGACTTGGTATCTGTGTTCAGCAGAACTTGTCCTACGAGTTAACAGAAGGCCTATTGCCTTTGCTTCTCTGAGGCTAAATCAACAGAACTCCCTACCAGAACCCCATCCGCTGCCAGTCTGTTCTGTCAACAGAACAGGCTATTCTGTAAAATCTGGTACTTAGTTTAAAAAGCTAAAAACCAATACAGTCTATTCACCCCCCCTCTAGACTGTATCCAGTACAACCGGGACCAACAAGTGGTATCAGAGCCTCCTTGTTCTAATAATCTCTTAGGTTATTTGCTGAACAAAGATCCACTTGTCGTTCTGTTTGACCTCATTTCTATCTGATATAATGGATCACTCCTTGTCCAAGAATCTTATGTTTTCAGATCTTAAGTTTGATGACTGGAGGATCCAGATGAAAGCACATCTCTGTGCCCTGCATGATGAGATGTGGGAAGTTCTAGATATTGGCTATTTCACAAGCTTCCAGAAGGTCAACCCTGAGCATGATATTAATAACACCAGACCCCAGATGATCAGTAAAGCCAAGTCAGAATGGACCACTGAAGAGAGGAGAAAGTACAACCTAGACAATATTGCTAAGGACATCCTCTACAAGTCCATTGATGATAGGTACTTCAACAGAATCAAGAAGTGCAAGACTGCTAAGGAAATCTGGGATACTCTTGAGCTCATTGGAGCTGGTGATGAGCAAGAGAAGGACAACAAACTGACCATAGCCAACAAGAAGTTTGATGACTTCAAACTTCTCCCTGATGAAAGCATCTCCAAGATGTATGACAGGCTCCTCACTCTCACTGGAGAGACCTCTGAGCTTGGCAAGGAACTCACCACCAAGGAGATCAACCTGAAGGTGTCGAGGGGGACTGCCCTCAGCATGGAAGATGAAGGTGGTTGCTATCCAAGCCAGCAAAGATGTAAAGACTTATCCCACTTATAAGCTCATTTCAGATCTCAAAGCTCATGAGTTTGAAATGATTGAAGAAAAGGAAGATGTACCAGAAGAGAGGACCACTACAGCCCTCACTGCCAGCACATCAAAGGTAAATGATTTTGACCCTTCAGTACTTTTATCTGATGAATATATGGCTGCCTTTGCCAGGAGATTCAAGAAGTTTATGAAGAATCCCAAAGATGGAAGGAGTCCATCTTTCAACAGAAAGCCATACCAGAAGGTCAAATCAACAGAAAGCAGTGGAGAGCTTCTCTGTTACAATTGCAGACAACCTGGTCACTTCAAGGCTGACTGTCCCCATCCAAGGGTGTCCAAGAAACAAGGGCAGGATGGAGAAAAGAAGAAGTACGAAGACAACTCCAGAAGGAGAAAGGCACTTGTGACAGAACAACTGGAGAAAGATCCTCTATCAGAAACAGAATCCAGTTCTGACTCAGATTCTGATGAGGCCTTCTGTTGCCTTGATACTGAGACAGAAGACCTCTGCCTCATGGCTCATTCTGATGATGAGGTAACCTCTACTTCTGAATCTAGTTTTTCTTCGGTAGGCTTAGCTTTTGATTCTGATTCAATGTCAGAATTTTGGGAAGAGTTTAAGGCCATACAAGCCACTTATTCTTCTGTAACAGAAGAAACAGTAAGTTAAAAGCTGAAATTCTTGACTTAAAAAAGGAGGTTGAGATCAAAATCAATCCTCTAATTAAGGAAAGAGATCAACTGGAGACTGAAAATGTTTCTCTTCTCAAGAGAATAAGAGAAATAGAGCCTCTTGAGATTAAGTACAAAGCTTACCAGAAGGCCCAGTCTTCCATGGAAAAGATTGTGCTTGATCAACAGATTGGCACTGGTTTTGGTCTTGGTTATGGCTCAACAGAATCAGGTGAGCCTTCTGTAATGCCTAGCACCAGAGTTGCTAAGGCAGATAAGGTCATAGTACCACTGATTTCTAGCACCATCTGTCAAGCTGGTGTATCTGGCACCAAGGTTGTTCATGAGGAAGTCAGACCAGAAAAGGAAAAGATAAAGGTTCAACAGAAACCCTTTTTGAAAAATAATGAACCTGGCAGAAAACCTAACAACAGAAAAGGTTTTCAAGATAACAAAAATAAAAGACCATTCATTGATAGACAACCTCATGTCAATCGTGCCAGAAATGATCACCAGAAGGGCAAATATCAAGAGAAAGTTAACTTCAGGCAGAAGAGGTTGGCTGGTCAACTTCAGAAGCCCAAGGTTAACCGTCCCTCTGCTCTTGATAGTATATGGGACTTCTTTCCAACAAAAAAGGCTATGCAAAAGTATGTAAACATGAAGCATGACCCTCACAAGCATCTGCCCAAAGTGAATCACACTTCAGTTTACTATAACTACCAGGTGGACAATGGGTACCACCCACCAAGGTTTCACTTGATGAGACCAAAATGGTACCAACTACCCAGACTCCATGACCCCCCAGGACCCAGCATTGCTTGGGTACCTAAATCTTTCTTTTGATCTTGCAGGAACTGTGTGCTGGAGCCATCTCTGAACAAGAATGGTTTATTGATAGTGGATGCTCCAGGCACATGACAGGTGACAGAAGTTGCCTAACTGAGTTCCAGAAATGCA